GTATACCATGAATGTATTTTTTATCTTTTTTATTGAAGGAATATAAGTATTTTTTATTCTTGACAGTCTCTAGAAAGGTTGATTTACATTTTTCGTAGTTATAAGATACGGTTGCATAAAAAAAACGAATTCCTGTTAAAGTACGATACTATTTATCCGAAGTTGCAAAACAGGAGCGACATTCTTTCTCGGATTTATTCTAGCAAATCTTTTGTAGAGAATTACTAATGCTCTAGAAAGCATATCTGAGATGGTAAATAACTGAAATACAAGCTTATTTCCATTTTATCCACTAATTAAATAGATATTGATATATTTTAACGTTTAATTTATCGTAAGGTCTGTTTCTAATAGGCGAATGTAATAAATTAATTGGAAGTAAAGCTCAATACAACTATTAGAAGAAGCATAGTGAGATAATTTCAAGGCTTATGTATACAGTGACTGTTAAAAGTATGAAACACATTTATAAAATTCACCAAATTATTTTATTTTCTCACATTTTAATATTTACAGCTCTTAATTCAAAAGTTGAACACGGCACTGTTAATTTAAGAATATCAGAATTCAAATAAAGAATATTTTTACTTAAGAATTAGAGTCGTGTTGAATTTTAAATACGCATTCTTGATTACATAAGACAAATTTCTCTGTGTGTGGCTCTGAACTGTATTGCCTATAATGGAATAATTCGTCGTCAATCTAACAAAATGACGTATCTTAAAAAATGCAATTTTTGAGATACGACTGTAGAAACACTTTATTTTTATACATCTTTCTTTTCACAAAGTGGCTTGAAACGCAGCACAAAATTTGACTGCTCTCCTGTAAAATTAGGAGAAATGAGATAGGTCACTTTGTGAGATTGGCGTCGAATAGTTTGAATTAAAAAAAAAAAAAAAATGCGAGTAACCATTTCAAAATCCAAAGATACAAAACAAAACGACTTTAAAGTGAAACCCAATCAATTTAAAAACTTTTCACCCTTACTATCTTTCTTCCAGTAAATAATATGAAACATCGGGAAGATACGTTAATTTTATTTTCAAGGGGGAATATTTTTAACAAATATTTTTAGCCCTCGTGGTTAGATGTTACCCTTAGAATCTTAACCCCTTACTGCATAATTTTTATTTTTTCGCCAAAAAAATATATGCGTTAGCATGATTGATTAGGAGTTATGAAAAAATAATGAAAAAAATATTTATCGATATTTAAAGGAAATAAATGTTAAACTTTGACTGAGATAACAGTAACAATGTTAATTTTTGACATGTGCCAAATTTGGCACAAGTTTCGGAAATAAAACAAAAGTAATAAGTATAAATTCAGATTTATTTTAAAAAAATAGATTTTATCTCAAAAAAAGAGTGAACATTTACTAAAACAATTGCGATCCTTATTTAGACATAAATATACTGAACATTTGCCACATAATATCTGGGATTTTCCCTTACAATCTGGATATTTGCATCTCTGTCGTTCTTCACTTACTCTTGGCAAATGATTCAAGTTGTCCGTTCTTATTTCCTGAAAAGGAATCTGCGAAAAAGGATATTTCTTTTTTTTAGATCAAGTTGAGGTTGTAAGCTGGTACTTAGTCTTATCCTTTTTCTTTCTGAACTATGAGCTCTGGTCAAAACTTCTGCGATACCAAGTTTGAATTCTGAAAGTGGTAGGTATAAATCATTATTTTTTAGGGTTCGCCTCCACAGTATCTAGCTATTGACGCATATCATATCCAGTAAATGGAAAAATACCTTCATGTACCACTTTTTGCATCGAATTTGGATTTGGTAGTATCCTAACATAGAATCGATCTACCCCCCACATATAAGCATTATATACCGCAACATATTGAGGGCGGGTGATTTTTATATGTGTCCTAGATTTCCTGCAGAATCTGTTTACCATCGATACAGGCTGACTCCCAACATTTGTTGACATGGTGTTCACAATTTTATTATCAAACCATGAAATAACAGATATGTCCACACCATCTACATTGGCCACTAATTCTACCTTTTTTTTATAGCTGCTTCCGTAGGGAATTCAAAATTATGCACACGATTTCCTCTTACTGTCCCTAAAAGTAAAATACCATTTTTGGTGAGGTATATTTGTAGAGAAATGCTCGTAAATCAGTTACCAAAAAATAATTTGTAGTTTAGGTTTCTTGGAATTGATTCTGAAAGTTGTTTTCCAACAATATTGCTGCTTGCTCCTTGATCTGGTTGATTATTTTCAAGAGTAGTAGCTTTACAATAAAAGTCGAAATCGTAAGAAAATCCCACTTAGAAAAAAAACCTTGTATCCCCATTTATGAGGTTTCTTGGGATTATATTGTTTGAGACTTGATCGAGCTTTTGTCGAATTAATTTGTTCATCCACGGCCATATGCTTCTCTTTAGGAACAAGTAAGAAACGTTCACGAATTTTGTTTAGCAATGGACGTATCTTGAAAAGCTTATCATAACCTCGTTGCTCTTGAGGAATCTGGCGTGTGTTGTCATGGAAGTGAAGAAATCGTTTGATTTCTTCAAATCTATTGCAGGCCATAGCACGTCAGATGCAGGGAATATCTAACGATTGGTTCCAGTAGGACCTGTTTGAAAGGAGTTGAATAATTGACATGTATATGCAAATACCGCAAAAAATGCGAAGTTCTTCTTTGGATATATTGGGCGGTTTTTTAGGCCTACTTTGTACACCAAAAAAGTTTAACTGTTCAACTATATAAGTAAAAATTTCGTCGGTAAAAAAAAATGAAAAACTGAATGGGATCTTCGAGTTCTTGTATGAAAATTGGAAGTGTTTTATCTCCTTTCAATTTCAAAAATTCTTCAGTAACAGCTAGGAACCTATTCTGCCTGACAACTTCTTCTTTTCCCATTTTTTTGTGTTGTGATTTTTTACATTTTTTGCTAGTCGATGTCGATGGTAAATTTGTATCACTATGAGATTTAGATGTCGAGGGAACATTTATATCACTAAGCTTATCTTGATTAAATTGTCGTAATCTAGAGAGCCGTATTTCGTATTCGCTGTTATTGTCAGTTTCGTCGATAATTACCTCTTTAGTTGATGAAGCATTGGTTTCACTATCTGATGACTCACATAAAATTTTTGTAGGTTTTATGAGACTCATTGGTTTACTCTTTTGACGGTCATCATCGGAAGATAAATTCTCATCATCACTTCCATTAGTCATTGGAATTTGTACTTTTTTTAGTTCCATTGAACTTCTTGGTATTCATCTGAAAAACAAAAAATCCGTTACAAAAATATTATCTTTATCTCATATTGTTCCAAATATGGCACAAGTAAACAAAGACAGTTTTTTCTCGTTTTTATTCGCTGTGTGCATTTGGCTTGGAGGGGATAGATTGAGCTATCGCAGCTATGGTGGCAGGAGTCGGCGATTGTCCACATCATCGTAGTAGCGCGGCAGCGTGTTGTGGGTCTCGTGTTGGGTATTAAAATGAGTCGAACAATTTCCGTAAACGCAATTACAAGAAACTGACAGAATTCGCCGAGTTGCATCAAGCTGAAATACTATTAGAAAACATGCGATTATTTTTATTATTGTCAATAATAAATGGATTTCAAGACAATTTTTATCTTACATGCAATTTTACAAGATATTCTTTTTTCGTGACAGACGTTTGTCTAATGACACCAGCTCGGATTAAAAGGCCAACACCTGACTCTCTGTGCTCTTCGACATTTATGACATGCCCAGCTTCTACCAAATCTTTACCTTTTCTTGGCGTTTCAGGCTGAAAGTTTATGTCATGAGATATTTTCTCAAATACAGTGTACAAGATGACACTCATGACAAAAATGTAGCATCTAAAAATACAAACAAATTACATTGATTTATGACATTCAAAACGCAGATACTTCGTATGCATAACCTCCAAATATTTTTATGTCATTTACTTACTTTTTGTGCGACAGAAACAATTTTTGTTAGTCTATCAACTAACAGCGAACACAAAACTTGTTGCAACACTTAATTGTTGAAAAAGAATTTTCAAGTTCAACTGTTGAGTGTGAGGTGTATAGCAAGTATGCGGGAATGAATGAGGAGAACTGTCGCTATCCCGTCACCAGAGAGCGCTACCAGTCTTGCACACAGCGAATATAGAAAAAAGTTTTGTACAGTAAACACTTGCCCTCATAAAAATAATTTTTTTTATACAAATTAGGCCAAAAGAACAAAAATATTCTATTTTGAATTTTCCCCAAACATGCTAGCGCCTGTCAATAGCCATATATTCACTAAATAGGTTCTTTCGTTCGTCCCACTGGTGTAGGAATGAACTACACCAACGTACACTAAACCTTTCGTTCGTCCCGGTGTAAAATCCACTAAACCTTCCTGTCGGCGATGTGGTGTCCACTGGTGGATATTTTTTCCACCAGCTATTTAGCAGGAGTGAATTACACTCGACATGTGTATAAGGAATAAGGAGGGAAGTAAACTAGGGCAAATTATGTGGTGTAACTGGTGTAATTTACACTGGTGGAAACTTCACCAACAACGAACGAAAGAACCTAATGATTCATCAAATTTGCGCTTACGATAGTGGAGGGGATTTAGCGGCTGACTGTGAACAAGCGAGCGTGCCAGATATAGGACAACTTGAGTTGACCGCACAAACTTTTCGGAAACTTAGAAAAAAATAATAATTTTGAACGTGTGCCAAATATGGCACAGTATGCGGTAAGGGGTTAATTGAGAAAGGGGTCGAGTGACACATCATTTTAAAGGTAGTTTTATAGAGAATTCCGCAATATAATTTTCACAACTATCACACAAAACAAAAATGATCGATTAATATGATGTTTGGAGCAATGAAGCGTCTTATTTTCGGACGAAACCCGGATTGATCTTAGATCTGATGACCGACGAACCAAGTTTGATTTTTTATTTAAATGTCACAATAACGTTAAGGCCAGTTCAATAATAATAAATATCCCGTTTTTTTTTTCAGGCGATAATAAAAAAATCGAAAGTGACCTGCAAATGTCACGGAGTGTCGGGTTCTTGCTCCCTCATCACCTGCTGGCAACAACTGGCGACCTTCAGAGAAGTCGGTAAGTGCAAGTGCATGCAATATATCTAGCAGATAAAATTTTTAACGACATCGTACTTACCGATATGACGATGATACCTCGGTACACCAATCATCGTAAATAATCCTTTTTATTCGTTTTCTTGCCGTACGTTTTTATTTACTGATAAAATAATATTTCGATTCGAAGTTGAGAGTTGATTATATGAAAATTTAATACACCGACGATACTTTGTGGATAAATGGGTTTGTTTTATTGGGTTTCATTTTTCCACCGCGAGTTATACAGGGTATAGACAATTTTTGTTCTGTTATTATGTTTATTATAAATTGAAGCAGATGATTAAATTAGTATTTTGTTTCTTACATTTACATCTCTAAGATTTACATGAAAGAGAAACTAATAATATGAAAGTACAAATCAAGGAAAAGATACCTAATAGAAAAGATATACAGTGTGTCTACTTAAGTTGGAACCATATGGGAAACATTTTTATTATTGATTTTAGGAAAAAAGTTATTCTTGATAAAAAATCCTGCATGACCCAAAACTTAAAATACAGTCATCAGATATCAAATTTTTCGAGCAGTATACGAGGTTTGTCAAAAAATATGAATTTTGCTCAAGAGTAAAGTACGTTTATTTTTTTTACAAAATCGAAAATTTTCATTAAGAAATTTGCTAAATTCTTCACAAACATCAACAAAAGGAAAACGTATCATGTTTATAGTAGCTAACGTAATTTATAACGTTTTCAGATATTTACAATCAATGTGTAGAGTGTAGAGTTTATAAAAAATAATAAAATCTGTTTTTTCAGATAGATCGGTGTAATTGCATATTTGAATGTAATATTCAATTCTAATCAACTTTTCTTAATGAAAATTTTCGATTTTGTCAAAACTAAACGTACTTTACTCTTGAGCAAAAATCATATTTTTTGACAAACCTCGTATACGGCTTGAACAATTTGATATGTGATGACTGTATTTTAGGTTTTGGTTCATGCAGGACTTTTTATGAAGAATAACTTTTTTTCCTAAAAGCAATAATAAAAATGTTTTCCATATGGTTCCAACTTAAGTAGACACACTGTATAATGCTTGGTATTCTATATTATACTCTTGGCAATTTAACAAACCCCCTTAACCCCCATTTATTTATTTATTTATTCATTCCCTTATAAAGCTTATAGAGCTTTTTTATTTCCACCCCGCTTGACTCCCATTTTATTCAGATTTTTTAAAATCAATAGACTTTGCCCCCTTATAGAGCTTAATTTTTGCCATACATTTTAAGTTGATATTATTATTCTTTTTTGAGTTAGGATTGTTTTTTAATATTTTTTAACCCCTCGTAATCCCCCTTTTCGTTCAGAATCAAATCAAAATTTCATGTTAATATCGCTTTTGGTGTTTATATTCTATTTTTTTATTTTACACCCTCCTTTACTCTCTATTTTGTTATCAATTTTTTTTTTAAATCAACAGACTTTGTCCCCTTATAGAGCTTTATTTTTGCTGAACATTTCTAGTTGATATTATTTTTCGTTTGTTTAAATATTTCAACCCTCCTTAACCCCCCATTTTTAGTTATTTTTTTTTTTTCAGAATCAATAGACTTTATTCCTTATAGAAATTGGTTTTTACTAAAAATTTCATGTTGATATCGCTTTTCGTTTTTGATTTATGATTTATTTTTAATTTCAACCACCCTTAAAGCACCACATTTTTATTCAGCTTTTTTTCAAAATCAATAGGCGGATGGACGAACGGACGGAACCAAATGCATAATAATCTTCACAGACTACGGTGTGAAGAGTATAATAAGTATAAGTATGTAATAAATACGTAATAAGTATGTAACAAAATTGGAGAGCGCCATATCTACTTTTAAGTGCACACTATAGACATCCTAAGTCCTACGTCACAAATGGGTGGAGCTTAGTGAAACTTTCTAATCAAATTAGATTTTTTTTGTAAGATAATTCACCCTGTTTTCAGTAGCTATTTTAATCAGTTGTCTTGAAGTGGTTCATTTTTCTCACTTATAATACCACTAGTGCCTAAATTGTTTCCGAAAATTTTTAGAACTAACGAATATTTTGAAAATAATTTTTGGGTTTTCGGTCGCAAATAATAGCACCGTATGTTAGCATAGGTTTTATGATGGCCGTGTAAGTCCATGTGACGATTCTGGGGAAGAAACCCCAGGTGCGTCCCAGAGTTCGGCAGCATTGTTCATAAGCAATGTATGCTCTTTTGACTGTTTTCTAAATGTTAGTTCATTCGATCATGTATTAGGATAGATACGCCTTACCTGTGGAAGTAATGGGTTTAATGATTATCTAGACGGGGAGAGAGGAAAGGTATACAAACGGAGAACTTAGCAGTGCCGTACCGTATGGAAGAGGTTATATATTGTTAATTACTATAAAACGCTAGATGAAAGCGGATGGACATGATTTTAAGAATATTGTTTTATAGCGTATATTTTTAACTTTCAATGTAAGAATAGTTTTTCACAGTATTGTGATACTACGTAGACCACGCACAGGCTTGTCATATTGTATATTATTTACTCAATTTTATAGGATTATTAATTTTGTACTTTAAACAATTTATATACATTTTGAGTAAATATACCTACTATAAAGCTTGACTGATGAAGGAGAAAAGAAAGTAGAAAAATATTTGTGAAGAATCCGTTTTATGAGTGAAGCAAGAATATTATACATATTTCTGACTACATACCTTCCTTGATGAAATAAAATAAAGACCAATTGAAGCATTTTATTTATCAACCAAAAATAGTTATACACAAATAATAATAATAATAATAATAATAATACTCTCCCTAATTACGGAGATTAATGAACTTTATTATTTACAAAGTACTGTAGCAAAATTTTGCCGTACGCAAGTTAGAGGGAACAGAAGAAATAATGGCATTGTGTTTGTTCCTTATTTTAACAATTCTGACAATGCATGAAGTGGTGTGACTAATTTAAAATGGGTAGCGTCGATTGACATTTTCTGATATTTTTAAATACCTATAATAAGAATCCCTTATTTAAAATGGTTTTATTTGGATAGATGGCTATTTTTTAAAAATTTAAATGCAAATAAAAACCTACAATAAATAGGTACATATTATATATAATTAAAAATAAGCTTCAAGATTTATTTTAATTTTTTTAAAATAATATTTAAAGTAGTTCATGCGCAAGACGGCTTTTCTTAGGAATTCAATAAAATTAAAATATAATGTTAAAGAAAATGTCTTTTACGTATCTAGGTAAAAAAAATTTTTTTGACCGTCCGTGAAACGAGATAGTAACAATGAAATTGTGCATAATTAACAGTTTTGAAGCCTGTAATGTACATAAGCAATGCATTTATTTCAAGATATTTCGAAAATGGTTCTTACTATATTTTTTTAAAAACTAATGTAATGTAAATCAAAAAGTTATACAATTTTCTAAAAAAACGTTGAGTTTTTTGACCGTTTTGGTAAAAAGATAGATTTTTAAAAGAAAGATATATTTAAATCAGTCGACGCGTAGTGGGATACAATGACTACAACTTGGCAACATTGTTAGTTCAGAATCACTGAATTACACTCGATCAGCTAAGAGGTTGTTATAACCTTGTGAAGTGTTCTTGAAAAATTTATTTGTCTACTGTATTTGAGAACTGGAATCGACGCTTCTGTTTAAACCAAAGCAAAACCTTAAAATTAGTATGAGGAAGTCACAAAATTTCTATATACACTTGATATCGCACCATTCTTATATTTGTGACGTTGCCGGATGGATTTTACTTGAAATAATAACGTATCCGTACATAAGCTTACATGTGTTGTGTTCAGTATCCTACAAAAATAACATTTTTCAGCATTGAGAATCTCAAACTATTGGCGATATTTTTGTGTACGACTGTCGCGCGTGAACTACCTTAATAATTACTACATGTAAACAACTCATTTTAAATTGGTCGGTATTAGATACCATAAGTGTTTAGTATATTTACCTGCAGTAAAATTGTTTACAATTCAAAACCCATTGGTTATATTTAGGCAGTACCCTGCGCATATGGGATCATTATTATGTTCCTCCATAATCCAAGGGGGTTTATCGTGTTCATTATTTTGTCTTGAAATTGTATCCTGATATTTCGAAAGAAGAGTCACTTCCATAGTTTCATGCAATATTCAACATTTTAACTGACAGTTGGCAACGTTGTAACCATTTGCAATTATTATACAGGCTCCTTAGAAGTGCGAATAATAAACAATATTTTCATATCAATTTGCTTCTAAATGCCCAATTAAACGAATACATGAATTTCTTAGAATACTGAAGACTTTTACGTAAAAATTATGATGCGATAGCTAATTGTACAAAAAAGGCTTACCAAAATATGAGTGGCATGTCACGACGCTTCTGTCAAAAATAAGGGTAGCTTAGATATTAGATTTTAAAGGAGTTTGACATTATGTGTCCGTGTCCACCGCGACCTTTTCAGATCTATTATGGGACTCCGTTTGTTTTAGAGTATGTCATCTAAGCTTGGACTTTTTTATTAGACTTATTTTCCTTGACAGTGGCATCCACATGCATGTAGTTACATGTGTCTGGCTTTTCTTCATCTAGTATAAGAAGTCTCAATCTAGTTAGGCTTTCACATTGGTGCAGGACGTGGATTGATGTTTCTTTTCTAATTCACAGGACTCGAATAAATTAAAAAAAAAAAGAATAAATTAGAAAATATCTTAGAATTTAAAAATAATTTAATTTTGTAAAAGAAGTGAAAACTTACTTTTTAGAAGATAAAAATAAATAAATAAATAAATAAATACCTTGGGAGATTCTACTTCTAGTACACACCAACTACGGTTGCTTATTACATTGTTCTTACTTCTTTTTTGCAAAAAAAGTAAAATGTATATACGTGTATTTGATACGCCAAAATTACAAAATATCGCCCTAAAGTGGTCGAATTATCTGCAGCTTGCGCTAG